GACTCAGACTTTACATCTGGGGCTCATCTGGCCCTGGTATGTGATTGGTGATTAATTTTTTCAGCTACACCTGGGCCAGACATGGCCCAAATAAATCCCCACACATTTCTCACCTTCAAAACAGTTTATTTATTTATTTATTTATTTATTTATTTTACATTTCTTTATCTCTATCTCATCCAGAGAACACATAACATTTTTTATTTGTCATTACAAAAACTCCAGTCATATGAAAAATGTAAAAAATATATTCAAAAACATTGTGACAAGCTTGCGTGGAATAAATTGTTTAATTCAATATCAATTGTATTTATTAAAAAATAATGCATCATGCAATAATTACATTTTTTTTAACAAATTTATATGTGTGCGGAGACCAAGTGTCAAATAGCAAGACATTGAAAATAACAGTCAACTTATATGATAGTTTGGATGGTCAAAGGAAAACAGGTGATCAGCAAAAGTTGGAGCCAGTGGAACCGGGTACAGGTCTGAACATGAAAAAAAGTACTTTTATATTACTAATCTCTGAATATACATTGATCTATGTTTGTGTGTGTGTGGTGGTATCTTACTTGGTCTGTCACCGAAGAGTAGGAAGTAGCACGTCTGAAAGTAAACTGGGAATACAGTTTTCAGACTTTATTCAGGAGGAAAGGAATTCAACATCTGTGCTGGATGATATTGGTGGTGCCTATAGAGTGTCATTTCTAAATCTTAATGTGTTATTCGACAGGGCATCAGGTGGAAATAAAGATCAAGCAACAAGTTTCAAAATCAGGGTACAGGTGCATTCTGTGTCTCAAAATGTGACTGAATGTATGTGATATAGCTGGTTACCTGCAAGAGATGATGGGCGGCTTGACCTCAACTTGACTAGCATCATCAGAGGGAATGGAACAAAACCTATGGAGCACAGTTCAAAGAAATAGGAGACATTTAACTACTCAAAAAACAACTCAGTAACACTGCTGCAAAAATGAGAATCTGAATTTGAAATGAACAACAAGTAAGAAACTGAAAAAAGGGGGAAAAATACACTTAATGTTTCACCTCATAGATAAAATACACTTATAAACATATTTGTTCAAACACTATCAAAATTAAATCTGAAAAAGATTTTATGCTAGCACTAGCAATAAACGTTGTGCAAACATTTAACTAAACGAAGTTTGCTGATTTATCCAAAAACCGTGTGAACAGGGTCTCATAAACTGGGCCTGCTAAGTTTAAGCAACTTTAAGTAACGTTTGCATGCTAACCAGATGAATGAACTGGAAGACACAAACAGGCTGGAAATGAGCTTAGATATTATTTATTGCCAAGTTGGTGACACTGAACCCAAAACTAGAATTTTACGCAGACGTACAAAAATATTGGCCGCATCTCATTGCACATAACATCCACGCGAACGGAGATATTCACCAATTTTGAGAACAGGCTTTCACCACAATCGCCAATTCTTACTTTAAGCCTACTATCGCATTAGTTAGTTCCATCCATGCGATTAAGAAACATATCAGCTATATGTCAATCTGATGTCAATCTTAATATAGTTTTATAATGCACTTACCAAGAACCACAAGCAGGTCTTCACTGGTTATTGTGTGACTCTTCAGTTACCTCTTACTGAGGCAGGTACACACGCATCTGCAAGATTTAAAAAAGCGCGGGTCCGGTCTGCGCTGCTGCTCCGGATCAGATACGGACCTTTCTGACGGACTGTCAGTCAGAGCTTGCGGACAAATATGCTGCAAAGCTGGCGCAGAGGTGCATAGTGAGTGTGACTGCTACGCGAATCTGGTGATTCGAAAACGGATCCGGCACAGAGGGAATTGCTGTCTGGGTTGAGTGTACCCTGTCCGATCCTCGCGTGTATTTAGCTTGTGTAACTCTCCCACCGTGTGTGCATCTTGTAGTTCGGCGTTTGACAAGCTTGTGTTTCCCTTACGTCTGCATTGCAAAGTGTTGTCTTTATATATGCTTGCATACTGTGAATCTTCGATTTTCCGAAACAGGCAGAAATGATAGTCTTTTGCTTTCTGATTTTTTTTCTCTATTTCTGAAATACTTTAGTGTCCTGAAATGGTTTTACTACACATTCTCTTTACCCAATTAGCATATTTCTTTGCTCCTTTTTGCATCTTACCTAGCTGGTAATAGAACACAACAGTATTGTGTCTGTTCTTTAATCATGAACGGCATTATTACTCTGCTGTAAACATGATCAGCCTTAAGCTTATTTTTCTTTTCTAAGCTGAGGGAAAGGGTAGGTTGCTCGATCAAGCCTGGCTTTGGCAGAATAGCCACATGTCTGTGGGCCCTTGAGCAGAGCCCTTAACTCCCAGCTCCATAGGTGCCACTGCAGGTGGCTGCCCTTTGCTGCCAAGCTCACTCTCACCTACATGTGTACAGAGCTCCATGTCGAGGGGCTGACAGCGCATATGCTGTTGCCCCCTCAGCTAACTTTATCTTATAATTAGTGCTGTCAAACGAATAAAATTTTTAATCAGATTAATCA